GTATGTGACTGTCGTGGTTGATATTGTTCTGTTTGTTATGGGAAAACAATCTCACGAGAGAACGTTTCCAAGTGGTTAAAAGCTTTTGAGCTTAAATTTTGCCCACAAGTAGGGGATCTGTAGACTAGAAAAAGCCTAAGAGGATATGAGCGCAAGTTGCGATTTCACTGAAATATCGAATTTTTACTACAGTTTTCATCCAGGATCCCAGTTTTTCAGTAAAATCAAAGTTTCGAATTTTGACCCGAAACTTTGCCCACATAAAGGCCTCAGTTAGACTAGCTCATTTAAAACGTTTCAGAAATTTTGGACAGATTCCCTCCAAGATATTAGTATTTCAGCATAAAGAGATTTTCCCATGGATATGGTATTATGCATAGAGGTGTAAGCCATGCGGCTAAGTCGCCGTCGCCGCCGATGGCCGAAAAATTTTTAAAAGTTTCTCAGTCGCCACCACCCGAAGCCTGAAAATTTTCTAGTCACCGCCGCCGTAACATAAATACATATACTAGATTTTCAAATGTTTTGGGCATTCAGAATCAGCTTTCATGGTTCTTCTAATCTAGTTTTTTATTAGAACGCTTTCTATTATCATTTCTCTATTTTCTATTGCAAAATTTCTCGAAACTAAAAACAAATTTTGAAAAGATCATAAAAAAAATTCCGGCCGCCGCCGCCGAAAGCCGAAAAAATTTCTTAAATTTTTTAGCCGCTGCCAGGTAAACCAGAGAATTTTCTAGCCGCCGCCGCCGATCAACGCATCGGCTTACACCTCTAATTATGCATCAATACTTTGAAAAATTAATATTTCTCAAAGAATTTGTTCAAAATTCTGAAACTATAAACGAGCTAGTCTAACTGAGGCCTTTATGCGGGCAAAGTTTCAGGTCAAAATTCGAAAGTTTGCTTTCACTAAAAACTGGGGTCCTGTATGAAAACTATAGTAAAAATCCGATATCTCAGCCAAATGACAACTTGGACCCATATCCTCTCAGTAGTTGCCACAAATCGCGGTGCAACCGCAAAAAAGTCAATACATAGAAGTTTCAAGACTATCTTTGACCTCTGATCCTAACTCCTTCGTCTCATCATCTTGTTATTTCGTTACCTTTGACCTTTGATCCCACCGCGTCTCACCGTCAGCACAGGGTATCTGGAGTGAAGCCCAAATGCCAGGGGGGGGAGGAGGGGAGTGGGCAAAGATCAGAGTGAGGGTGACGTTAACAATGTAATGGGGCCAAAGATCACGAGGGAACGAAGTAACGAAGTGATTGACGGTTTGAAATTCCCTGGCCGCGACTAGTGGCAAACATTCTATCTTTCAAATGCGTTCATTGACTGCAGAAGATGATCCAATTACTTTTCTTTCCTTTCCTGTCGCTATATATGACTAATTAGGGATGATGTGCGTGATGTAAAGAAGTATCTCATTTTATTTTGCTTATATGCATAAGATGATGATAATTCAACAAGGAAAGACGAGCCCAATGCGAGCTGCTGGCCGTCTTCTCGGCATTACGCTTCAATGCAGACAGATGCATATATCGTCGTCGATCAGTCAGCATAGTGTAGTGTCACAACTGGCCAAACGATTCGAATGTGAAAGTAACAAGAAGAACATTTGGTATGTGTAATTGATCAGTTTTTACTGATTATATGTATTCTCTTTAGGGCTGAACTTTTTTCATTAGGTATTGCACACAATGCAATTGAGATGGGAGTAGGCGCAATCGATTATGCACCACCGGATTATTTTCTTCGAATACTCAAAGAGACAACGGACGAGTCGACAACTGTCAATAGCAAACTTTTCGGACTTCATCAATATACACGCCCGTTTGTACGATCTCAAGATAATGAGTTTCTCTTGACAGACAGATAATCGACTTTTTTCTATCATTGTAAGGGTCACCTAAGATTGGTCAACGCTCTGGCAAGAATTTATTCGCCATTGTATGATAATCAAGAACTAGACCCGCTCAGAAATATCGTTATCACTGTTGGCGCCTCTGAGTCTCTGTACAATGCGATCAATGGCTTGATCAATCCGAGCGATGAAGTAAATACAGACAATTTTTTGTAACGATCAGTATTTCACTCTGGAATTTCCTCTTCAATATCTATAAAGATATTTTCGTTGGTTATTTAGTGAAGAGACTTCAAAAATTGAAAGTTTGACAAATCTTTTCCGTCCAATTTTGCATAATACTGCTCAGTGTTTTCATCTGGTTTATTGTTTTTTGCGGCTGATAATGTTTTGTTTATCGATAATCCCTCGTTTAGGTCATTCTTATCGAACCATTTTTCGATGCTTATCAGTCGATTATACAAGTAGCAGGCGGCATTCCTCGCTACACTTCACTTCGATTTCTATCTAAAGTACAAATATTCAGTAGTTCACTTTTCTTAAAATCTTAATTTACTTTCAGCAAACATCGACACATTCGAGTAGTGATTGGACTTTGGACGAGAAAGAATTGGCATCGCTGTTTAATTCACGCACCCGTGCTCTTGTTCTTAATACACCCAACAATCCTCTAGGCAAAGTAAGACTACTAGCTCAGTGAACTCTCCTTCATAACATATTGGCAAAAGAAAAGAAATGACAAAAGTATTCGCTGTTTTATTCTAAACAAATAAAGCACTACTTTCTGTACTTATTTTCTTGGTGCTGATGTCAACTATTGCCTGCTTTTTTTTCTTAAAAATTTGTGAATTCTTATATATAGCCACTTCAAACTTTTACTGGCACTACTTGAGAAGAAAATCTTCAGACGTATCTATTTGTTTGAAGGTCTTTTCACGCGATGAACTGGAGATTATTGCCGCTTTGTGCATTCGTCACAATGTTATTTGTATTTCGGACGAAGTCTACGAATGGGTCATTTACAATCGAACAGAAAAGCCTCACATTCGCATAGCAACATTGCCTGACATGTGGCAACGAACATTGACTATTGGCAGTGCCGGCAAGACATTCTCGGCAACCGGTCTCCGTATCGGTTGGACGATTGGACCGGAAACACTCGTTCGTGCTTGTCAAATGGTCCATCAGGTGAAACCGTTTTCGTTACCTCTATTTGTATACAATGATATCATTATTTTCGGTAGAATAACGTTCGTGTCTGCCCCACTATCTTACAAGAAGTAGTGGCTCGTTGTCTCGAACATGAGTTAGCCAGAATTGAAAACCCTACACAATTGTTTGAATCGATTGCACAAGAACTGATCGGCAAACGTGATCGTCTTGTTGACTTGCTGCATGTCTGTCGCATGAATCCGATTGTGCCTGACAGTGGCTTGGTTCTTCTTGCTGATATTACTCGTTTCAGTATGTATTATAGTACAGTCAAAGCAAATGGTCACCAATGAGTTGTTTTTTGTACCTAGTTTCAGCCGGCAATAATTTTCAACCGAAGGATAATGATGAAGATGAACCGACTGATTTAAAATTCGTTCGCTATTTAATCAAAGAGAAGGTGCAGTCAGATATTTCAGCTGAAATTTTCGATTGTAGATGTATATCTGTTCTAGAAATTGACCGCAATCCCGACATCGGCCTTCTATTGTCATGCTCATCAACATTTGTGCGGAAATTTTATTCGCTTTTGTTTTGCTAAGGTGAGATCTCCTTTGAATGAAACGAATTGTCTTACATTATTTCTCTTTCATTTGTAGAAAGACGAAACACTCGACAAAGCGATCGCTATTCTTCGAACTCTGTGATAGCATTCAACGACAGTGTGCTCTTTCTTTTTTGTTTGAATCCTAGCAATAGAATTTTAGAAAAATCCGACAATGTATAATCACAACTATCATATTTGCTCAGTTTTTGTACGTGTGTGTGATTCTACCACCCTAAGATTAGAATATTAACTAATAACTTTTCCGATTTATCAGACGAACAATTTGAGATATTCTTCATTAAAAGATGCTTTTTTGTCTCTTGATATGAACAGTGGAAATCAAGGCTCCGGATGGATCGAAAAAAGTCGGCTCATGAGTCGTCTTATTTTTTACTGGTCAAGCCTGTGATCTGCTGGACCGAAGCTCTCCAGCCCAGCCCAACCCATTCAATAAAAAATTCTAGCACGCAGCCTCATTTCCATGCTGATCGAAACTACTTCTTAAAGTGTGGGTGTGGGTTTGGGTGTGGGTGTGGGTGTGGGGTGTGGGTGTGGGGTGTGGGTGTGGGTGTGAGTGTGGGGTGTGGGTGTGGGTGTGAGTGTGGGGTGTGGGTGTGGATGACAATACAGTGATATCACGCCCACACCCACGCCCACCCACACCCACCCACACCCACCCACACCCACACCCACACCCACACTGTTATGATATGACATCTACAACTCTGTAATTGTTTATCTTTTCTTTCGTGCCATCTCTTTCTTTCATCTTTTCTTTTGTTCTTCTCTACCCTTTCTTTGGATATATATATATGTGTGTGTGTGTGATGACCTCGTCTGATCAGTAAAAAAAGGAATAAAACGAAATAAAAGTTATGTTTTTCTTTTACATGACCTCACATTTTGCCCTTAAATTTATTCTAGGAGAAGGAAAGCATGACAAGTGGTGACAGCGGTGTTTTCAACAACAACATTTATTTTAAAACAACAACGATATTTTATTAAACAAAGAAACCTTCCTCATTTAGGAACTGGTTTTGTGATTTACATTTACGTTTACATTAACATTTACGTCGGATAATTTTAGAAACATCCCTCTTTAAGGATTGTCTCTGTCAATAGTTGTATAGTGAATTGAAAGCATTACTATTTTTTTTATGTAATGTGTACCGGTTTATTTATTATTTTTGTAGTTATTAAAGATGATTATTGGTACATTGAATGCACAATCGTACTCGTTCACATCTAAGTTTACAAGAATATTAGATCTCTGATTTATTTTATTATACTCCCTCTCGAACACGCAGTAGTCTTCAATTAGTTTGTGAAAAGGCAAAATCTTATTCATTACATCAACCGAATCTATTAACAGCTATGTCAACACTTCAATCAACATCAGAATTAGCTGAAGAACAAAAAACTTGTGATCGTATGGCTCAGTTGGAAATTAAATCAAGTTTACAATTATTACGAGAGCAAGAAAAGATGGCTTTACAATCTATTAAGAAATTAAATGAAGAAGAAATGACTCACATCGACCAATGGTTATTTGTTCTACATAAAACATACGAAGAATTGGAATATCCATCATCACATCGTGTATTTCAAGCAACTACATATTTTAATGATGAACAACAATTATGGTATGAGCAGTCGAAAGCTGAAATTAATAATGACTGGTCGTGTTTTTGTGATCGATTAAAACGGCATATTCAGGATCGTCAGAAAGCTCAAGTACATTCTCAATCAATGAATCATCCATTATCTAATATTAATGAAATAACTTCGATGGAAAATCTTATTGATGCAAAATTTATTAAATATTCTTGTATAGGTGATACCAAGGCCTGGTTGTTACAAACAATGAATCAATTTAAACAATATGGATTATGCTGTCTCGAACAATTTCAAGCTATACCATTTTTATTAATTGATGAAGCTTATTTGTGGTACGTAGAACATATTGATTTAATCACCAGTTTTGAATTATTTAGTAAATTATTTCTTCAACAATACTCATCTACATCATCAACAAAACAAAATAATACATCTGTAGAGACGATTGCTCCGTCAATTACTGCTCCAAGTTTTTTATCTATATCACATCCACAGCAAACGATCGCTGATGAAATTATTAAAAAACCAACATATTTTCGTGGTTCAAAAGATGATGTTCATGATTGATTAGATAAATTAGAACAACGTTTTAAAATGGCAAAATAGAATGATGAAGAAAAATTACAGTATATTTCGATACATCTACAAGATGATGCATCTCGATGATGGACACAAGCATCCATGTCAATTAAAACATGGTCATCATTTATTGAAGCTGTTATAGAAGCTTTTGGATCAACAAAAGTACAAGAATTAGCATTCGAACAATTAAAATGGTACAAACAAACAGTTAATCAACCTGTTACGCAATATTATGATAAAATTATAGAACTGTGCAAAAAAGTTGATCCAGCTATGCCTGATTTATTGAAATTAAAATATTTAATGACTGGAATAAGAGAATCATTAAAATTACATATTGCTTTACAGGATCCAAAGACAACTGATGCATTTTTATTGCTCGCCAGAAAAATTGAAGATACATTATCATTTACTGCTACAAATAATGAAATGCAACAAAATGAAATTAACATCAATGCTACCACTGCTCAAAAATCATTAGAACAAACAACTATTTCACAAAAATCACGAAAAAATATTCGACAAAATATACCTTCACAAGAGCAGTCACAATCACGTCCAAACTATCAACGTACTACGCAAACTTCGTATAAAAAAACTCAACATTATGAATCTTCAAGATATTCACAATATGCACAACGATCCAATTGTTGTTACAAATGTGGTACTCCCGGTCATTATGCTCGGGATTGTACCCGTACCCATTTCGGGTAAAGGAGGCAACGATTGGTGGTGTTGCTTCCAATAGTTTACATAAAAATCCATCGAATCCAAATACATCTTTACTATACCTTAATGTTATTGTAAATAATAAAAAAATTAAGGTGATGATTGATACAGGTGCAAATCGATCTTTTATTTCAATTAAAGCATTAGATCCATCCTATGGTAAGCAATTTATTAATAAATCACATAATCGTGTAATTTTAGCTGATGGTTATACATCTCTTTTTATTCTTGGTACCATTAATTTATTCATTACAGTGGGTGATATGTTAACTTCTATTAAAGCATTAAGTGTTAAAGAATTATGTGCTGATTGTATTTTAGGCATGGATTTCATTCATAAATATAAATTAATTATTAATACGGAAGAACAAATAGTTTCAATTAGTGATAATTATAAACGTATAACATTAAAATTTGATGTTAATAGAAATGATATAAGATATCCTGCACGTTTAATTAATAATGTCCGGATTCCACCAAAACAAACAGTAACAGTTCCTGTATCTGTAGAATTATCATTAGCTAAAGTATTATTTCGTCCCTGCTTTAAATTACAACAACGATTACCTATGTTTATGTTAAATGCTTCATTAACTATTCACCATCATACTTCGTTCTATTTCACTTCATAATCCAACAACTTACTCATGTTTGTTACCGAAAGGAATTATTTTGGGAACAACAACTATTCCTACATTATCCTTTAAAACAAACTCAATTATTGATCATCGATCAGTAAATAACAACATTACTAATTTAACTCGACATATTGATAATCCTGAACAACAAGATAGAGTTAAAACTCTCCTTAATCAATATGCAAAATTATTTGATACTAGTAAATTAACAATTGCTAATAATGTAAAATCTCATGCAATTAAAACGTTTGACCATCCTCCACCAGATCCAAACCATATTATTCTACTTCAAGTAAACAAGAAGAAATGTATAAGATAATAAAAGAATTATTGTATTTTGGATTAATTCGCCCATCTGATTCTCCATATGCAGCACCAGCATTACTGGTAGCTAAGCAAGATGGTACATGGAGAATGGTAGTTAATTATAAAAAATTAAATAATATTACTATTAAAGATAATCATCCATTACCCAATATGAAACAAGCAATACAATTATTAGGTGGTGATTTTAAATTTTTTTCTAAACTTGATATGAAGAGTGGGTTTTGGCAAATTCCAATCAAAGAAAAAGACAAATTCAAAACTGCATTTATTACTCCAGATGATCTTTTCGAATGGAATGTGCTGGCTCAAGGTCTAAAGAATAGCCCACCATCTTTCCAACGAGTAATGGCTGACATATTATCCACATGTCGGCAATTTTCATTGGTCTATATTGATGATATCGTGGTTTATTCTCGTTCATTCGAAGAATATCTCAATCATCTTACACAAGTATTATTTGCTTTATCAAAACATAATTTTCAACTTAACCCGGTCAAATATAGTATTTTTCATCAACAAATTGATTATTTATCTCATACAATATCTGAGCATGGTGTTAAACCAAACAATGAAAAAATTCAAGCCATTATTAAATTATGTCAACCTACTAAATTAGCTGAAGCGAATAAATTTCTTGGTGCTCTTTCCTGGTATCGTAAATTTATACCCAAATTCGTGACAATTGCTGCACCTATTCATGCTGTAACAAACTTAACAAAAACAAATAGACACAAATTTAAATGGGGTGCTTCGTAATCTCAAGCATTTTTACAATTGAAACAATTATTAATGACTCATCCATTATTTCTTGATTTTCCGAATGATAATTATCCTGTTATATTAACAACGGATGCATCAAAAACTGATATTGGTGGTACATTACAACAAAATATTAATGGTGAAATAAAAAATTTATATTATCATTCTCAAATTACATCTTCTACTCAACGACCATATGATCCTATTGAATTAGAAGCTTTAGCCATATGGTTATGTTTTCAACGAATGCGATCTTATTTACTCGGTAGATCTATTATAATTTATACTGATCATTGTCCTTTATGCAAAATGATGAATTCATCGGTGAAGAATCGACGAGTAGATCGAATTTCTATCTTATTGCAAGAATATAATATTGAAAAAATTATTCATATTAAAGGTCAACATAATTGTTTAGCTGATTATTTATCTCGTCATCCAATACAACATGCTGAAGAAATATTTGATGAAGATTATGGCATAAGCATGTTATTTCAGGGGGAACCATCGGAGACGGTACATGCTCCTGCCAATCATCCTCAAGTTATTGGTGCTGTCGTTACACGTTCAAAAATGAAACAAATAAAGCAACAACAAAATGAAACAGATATAACCACGCCATTTACTATAAATGGCATATTATCGTCATCAAATCGAGAAAAAATTGAACATTCGAATGAATTTCCATCACAATTAATTACGTCTAACAATTTTGATATAACTCAAATTAAACTTGAACAGTCAAAAGATCCAAATATTGAGAAGAAGATTAAGGCCACCCCCCCCCCCCCCC